CCCCTCTTCCTGCAATGACCCGCACCCCCAGACTCCTCCCAGGAGCCCTCAGGAGTTCAGGCCCCGGGGGTGCTGTACCCTCTCGGATGGCAGTGCAGGGCGCCCCCTCCTCGTGCTCCAGCCGGATCTCCTTCAAGGCCACCAGGTTCTCCGTCAGCTTGCTGCGCCCTTTGAAGACCGTGGCGTAGGTGCCCTGGGAAGAAGAACCCCATGGCCCCAGCAACACTCGGGTGCTGCTCTCCTCTGCCCAGGGCCCCCCTCTTGTGCCCCTGCTGGGGCTGTGACTCCCTGCTTCTCCCTTCATCTCTCTGGGAAGCATCCCTAACTCCTCCCGCTCAGAGTGAACTGGCTACATGCCAGGCACCCGAGTGCTGTCCACAAGCTTATCATAGTGACCGCTTCAACCCTCAACAGCCCTGTAAGGGGGACCAGTTAGGGTCCCCATTTGACGAGGAAGAACCGGAGGCACGGAGGGGTCGCAGAACGAGCTCAAGGCCCCAGAGCTAGTACATGGTCAAGTTCGGATTCGAACTCAGACAAGAAATACACTGGATCCTGCCCAGGGCCCATGGGCCACTCCATCCTCACACCCTCCTCCAGCACCTGGACCCCCCTCAGCACCTGCCAAAGGCTGAGCCCAGCTGCCCAGCCAAGATCGTGTGCCCCTGTGGGCAGGTGCAGCGAGGGGGCAGGTCAGGGAGGGCCGGGGAAGGCCCTGTCACTCCTAACCATCCTGCTGGCTGCCCTGAGAAGACCAAACCCAGTCTCTTACCTCCCCCAGTTTGTCCAGTTTCACATATGTTTCCAGTTTCCCAAAGCCGATATCTGACTGAGAGAAGAGACGTAGGGTCCTGTGAGCTTGAAGGCCCCAGCAGCCCCGAGACCACAAATCCCCCACTCCACCTCCCCAGGAGGAAAGGTAGGGAGACCCCCATCGGGAAGAGAGAACAACGGAGGCCACAAATCCTCCCTCCTCTCCTCTCCCCTCCATCCCTGTGCTAAAGGAGGAAGGCTTTGGAAGAGCGGGTTCCTTCCTCCCAGCGGTGGGGGGTGTGGAGCCCCGGGCTGCAGACCTAGGACTGCCTCAGCACACGTCACCTGTCTATCTCTGTCTTGTTCGGACTACTAGCTCCGGGAACTCTGTCTTTTCGACTCCTGCACCTCGAATGCCCAGTTCAGAACCCACCACCCCAGTAGCCTCTCTCATCAGCACCCTTCCTCTAGCTCAGTGATCCCCAACCCTTAACAATACAGATTCCTGGGCCCTACCACCCAGAGTCTGATTCTGTGGGTATCTAGCGTGGGAACCAGAGTCTGTGTGTTTAGGAAGATGCTCCCAAGGAAATAGGATGGCAGCCAGGACTGGAGAGCACGTACCAGCTGGTCTATTGATTTCACTCTAGCGGAGACCCTGGGGCCCAGAGGAGGCTCAGCCCCAGCCCTGGTGGGACCCAGCCATAGAGTGAATGTTGACCAAGGATGTAGGGCTATATCTGCTCTGACCAGCAGGTGGCGCCAGAGGCTCGGGACCATCCCTAGAAACTGCTGCGGCCTCAGCCCAAAGAGGCCAAACCACGTGCGTGTCCACGTTTGGGAGAGGGTGTCCCACCCTGGTTATCTCGGCCGCTCTGGGGACTCACCAGGGATGCTCGGCGGGACATGCGGCTGAGCGGTTTGGGCAGCTCCGGGCTCTCCAGCTGCAGCTTCTGCAGGAATTCCTGGGGCAGGCGGATGTCCGCGGGCAGGGAGAGCCTCTTACTGATGTCCTGCAGTGGCCAGGACGAGACGTGGGCAGTGTTGGCTCCGGGGCAGCCGGTGCTGTGAGCATCCCGCCTCTCACCCTGGGCCCGGCGTTCCCTGTCGAGCAACTCCGCGGGGCCAAGCCACAGGCTGCGGCCCAGGCTCCCAGCTGCCTCAACCATGTGCTCGGAGACCTCCGTGAACACCCGGCCTGTTGCTAACGTGAGCTCTGGAGGCCCCTGCCCCTCTCTGGCCAGTGTCCCCACCTGTGCACTGAGGCTCCTCGGACACTATGATTCTGGACGCATACTTTTCATGCACTTGGGCACCTGGGTCATAAGAACAATAGTCCAGTTGTCTGGCCCTTGCTATGTACCAGGAATGTTCCAGGCACGTGGCACAAGGCAGCTCATCTAATCGTCACGGTGACCATTCTAACACAAGGTGACTGCAGTGTGCAGAGGTTGTGAAAGGTGCTCAAGGTCACCGCGCTAATCAATGGCAGAGCTGGAATCTGAACCCATGAAGTCTGGCCCCAAGGCCACCTCCCTCCCGGGCACACGTGAGTGGATGCGTCCTGCCAGGCCCACGGGACGGCCCGGAGCCCCTACCTCCATGGAGAAGCGGCGCTGGCTCTGCCGCCGGAACCGCATGCCCGGGGACGGCGGCCTGGGCTCCTCCCCACCGTCGGTGGGGGAGAAGGTGCTGGACTCTGGCTGGGCGTCTCTGCCAAGAGGACCAAGCTGCAGATCTGAGAGCGAGAGGCATCAGCTCCCTCCCTGCCTCTCTGCCCGGAGGGAAGTCCCTGTCCTCCCTCTGTCCTCCCCCAAGGCCAGCAGTGACGGTGTGGGGTGTGGTCAGCGTGGTCGAGGGCAAGGCGGGGCTTGGGGGGGAGTGCCCTCACCCTCACTGTCCCGGTTGTGGAGCTGGTTGAACTGCTCTGCGAACTCAGTCAGGGACTCCTCGATGGTCTCGGTGCGGGGCACGGACAGGGAGAAGCGGCGCTTAAAGTTCTTCATCTTATTCATGATCGGCCCGGACCAGGCAGCAGGTCCTGAGGCGGAAGCGAGGATAGCCAGCCATGAGAACACGGCAACAGGGAGTGGCGGGTCTTGGCCTTTCCATCAAGCTCTGTGGCTCTGCCCTGGGAGCCAGGGTTGAGTCTTCACAGGTTCCAGCTCCCAACCCTCTCCCTCCCTGTGAATCCACCAGGATTCCCTGCTCCTGGGAAATGCTCACAATAAGGATCAATCAGAACCATATGGCATTGCTCATAATAGCAGCATGGCATGCCAAGGGGGTTCTGGAAGGAAGGCTGAGTGGAGGGAGGGCACCAGAACCCGATGGCCCTCGGGCCAGCAGCTCTTTACCAACTTGTGTGTGAGCTTGGACATAGCAGCCGGTAAGCCTCGCTGATGGATGCCTATAAGCTAAGTATCAGCCCGGCTTACACCCTCGCAACAGAGTCTGGTCCAAACCCCATTCATCCTCATACCAACCCCTGGAGGTTCCTCGCTGGCTCGTCCTGGGTCCCCAGGAGACAGAATGGAGGGGAAAGTGAGGGAGGAGGTGTGTGCATCTGAGCTGGCCCAGCCCATCTCGCCAGCTGAGATGTGGGTGTTCAGGCGCAGCTGAAGGTCTCAGGGGAAACACAGAGGGTCCCCTGAGGAGCCCCAAGCGGGAAGGGTGTCCACTGCAGAGAACAGTGGGGGAGGGGCGGGCCGCTCTGCTGGCTCTTGGGGGGCCCTTGCCCAGCCAGAGGGGTTCTCCCTGCAGCTCCTCAGCCCCCTTGCCCTCGGAGTGAGGAGACGTGCACTGCTTCCTCCCACAGACCCTTCCTTCTGTGTCCTGCCCTGAAAACCCAGAGCGGGGCTGTCCCTCCTCCCCGCCGCGGTTTCATAAGCTCCCACTGTGGCCGCCCCCTCACCCTGCTCTGCCCACACTCCCTCGGCTGCAGTGGGGCCGGGACCCAGGAGTCTCGAAAGGGCCCCCACCCACATCTGCCAGGAAGGCATGGGGGCCAGTCCTGTGATGGGAGGGGCCACCCTCCCCCTCCCCCAGCTTTACCCACGCACCAGACACAGCCCATCCCCGGAGGATGCTCTCAGCCCTGTCACTGGCTACTACCCGGTTGCCAAGGCAACCAGGCCCCTCCTGAATCCTCCTGGTTTAAGGGATTATGGGTCAGTAACATGTTTGCTTTGCCTAATGATCACATCCTTCTGTCCTCAGCCAGAAAGAACCCTGAAAAGGGTCCCTTCCCTGGGCCTGAATGTTCCTGGCTGTCCCCAAATGCACTCAAGTTTGGTCCCCAAACTCCCCGGAGCCCCGACACTGGGCATGGCCAAGCTTCCTTCCTCGGGCTTGTGCCTCTCAGAACCCAGGCCTTGGGTCTGCACTGCCAGCTAAGCCTCCCTCGGCCAGTGGGCCCTGAAGTCTCGCTCAGTTCAGCTCAACAAACGAGGACTGAGTACCTACTGCGTGCCAGGCATTGTGCCAGAGGGGCACATGGGCCCAGTGACACGGGGCCTACACATACCCCACCTGTGGCCCACAGTGCCCAGCATGACAGGAGTACGGAGATGACTCCATTATAAGGTCAGTGGTTTACAAGCTGGCAGAGCATCAGCATCACCAGGAAGCTTTGTAAAAAATTCATATTCTTGCCCGGCCAGCGTAGCTCAGTGGTTGAGCATCGACCTATGAACCAGGAGGTCCCGGTTCGATTCCTGGTCAGGGCACATGCTCGGGTTGCAGGCTCGATCCCTAGGGTGAGGCATGCAGGAGGCAGGTGATCAACGATTCTCTCTCATCATTAATGTTTCTATTTCTCTCTACCTCTCCCTTCCCCTCTAAAAGCAATAAATATATATATGTTTTTTAAAAATTCAGATTCCTGGGTCTCACCCTCAGATTCTGGAACTGAGGCTCTGAGGATGGCACCTGGGAAAATGCATCTTAAAAGCATCCCCAGGGATCTGACATGAGCCTCGGTGGAAGCACCTGAGGCCCAGGAAAGGGAGGGTGATGTGTCCAGGTTCCCACTGCCCGCCTGGCTGCGATGGGGACCCTGAGAGCCAGCTGGGGAGGAGCCGAGGGTGGAGAGCACATTGAGTGGAGCAGGAGGACCCCGAGAAGGGGAGGAAATGTCTGCCAGGCACAGACTGACGCCCCAGACTCAATCATGGTTACCCGGGGGGTAGGGGGAGCCAGGCACTTGGCTCCCTGAGGTTTGAGCTCTGCCAAGAGAGCCAGCCACGCCCCCTTCTGAAAACAGGGGACCCCCATAAAGCCGTCCTGCCGCCTGGGATTTCTGGCAGGGAGCGATGGGTTTGTGCTCAGGAATCCGCCAGGAGCCACCATGAATCTCACATCCTTGCTCTCACTGTGTAGGAGGGCAGGGGGCTCATTAAAAGCCTCTGGGAGAGAGGCCCCCAACTTCTACACGATAAAGGAGCCCAGCCCTGAATGGTACCTACTCTCCTCCTGTTCCCTCAGAAGCAAGGAGCCACCCGCTTGGGTTGGGGGATGGGGGGAGACGGGGAGCCAAGGGGGGGGGACTGGGGACAGCTGACTCAAGCAGGAATGTGGGGCCAAGCGAGGCAGAGAGATGGGGACCAGCTGTCCTCCACTGGCCTGAGGAGAGCCCAAGGGGAAGTGGCTGTCACTGCGGCGGGAGCGATGGAGGTCAGATGTAGGGATGGACTTCCGGATGGAGACGGGGAGCAGGTGGCAGGGGTGGTGACCACGGCAGAGAGTGGCTGCCTCTCTCTGCTGGGGACAATCGGGGCATTGAACCCAGCAGGGTCTTGGGTGTGACAGGGCAGCCTGGGCAGTGAATGGTCTGTTGTTTCCTAGCTCAAGACACAAGATGCCTCTGTCACTTTTCCCTTGGGAGAGTCAGCTCCTCAGATTTGGGGGTCGCGGGGGAAGGGAGACAGGAAAATGGCCTGTCACCTTGTGGCGTCTGCCCCCACCCCCATATGGGGACAGAAGGGCTCAGTGTGACCCAGCCTGAGGCCAGCCCAGGGCTGGGCACAGTGTGGCCTTTGTCCCCAGGCCCAGGGAGCCATCTGGGGCTGTCCCCGTGCGACTGGTGCCAGGGGAAGAGGGAGACGGGCGTCCAGGGATGCTGGCCTGGGTGGGGTGGGGGATGGTGAAGGAGCACAGCCCTCTCCGGAGTGGGGAGCTGCAGGCTTGGGCAGGCAGAGCGCCCAGCAGGCCTTCCTTCCTGTGCCCCATGCCCAGGTAAGTCTGAAAAGTTCCCAGCCTACCTCTTGCCACTTCCTCCTGGGCACACACCAGCCAGCCCAGAACGTCCAGCTGGTGCAGGAGGAGTGGATGGCACAGGAGGAAGGAGGAGCCGGGCCAGGAGGAAACAGACACTTGCCCAGAGGCCACTGCGCACCCAGGAGAAAAGGCTGGAGTCCTGGGACCGTCGCACAAGGCACTGTCCCAACCCCTCGCTGGCCACAGGGGCAGCCAGGCTCACAGAGGGGAACTGACTTGCTCAGAGTCTCCCGGTGTCACTGTGTTAGGAGGAGAAAGGAACCGTGTGGTCTCCTAACTGGAATGCTCCCCACGGCCCCTCCCTGTGCCCGAGGCTGTGGGTGCTCTTTCCTCCTCCAGCCCAGCCCAGGTTTAAAATCTGGTGCTCCCACCAGCAGGCTGTAGGATGGCGATGACGTTATGTAATTCTTCGCTTTGGCTCTGGTCATTCATTTGATAATTATTTACTGAACAACTACTACATGCCAGGAACGGTTGTTGACCCCAGGAATCTTGTGAACAAAACAGACATTCCTTCCCACCTTCATTACGGTTCTAATCAAGGCAGGGAAGGTCGGCGCAGACAGTAAAATAAACAGAGTACACAGAACGTTAGGTGGTGACAAGTGCAATGGAGGAAATACAGCCGAAGGTGTGAGAGGTGGGGGCGTGGCGACTGTAAGTAGGATGGGTAGGAAGGCCTCCCTGAGAAGGTGGCATCTTCTTGGGAAAATGCCAAGTAGGCCAGGGAAGGAGGCAGGTCATGTGGAATCTGGGGAAGCAGGTGAGCCAGGGAGCAGCAGGAGCAAAGGTCCTGAGGCAGAAGTGGGGACCTGGAGGGGTGGCTGTGGCTGGAGAGGAGGCCAGAGGGGAGCACCGAGCAGAGCAGATCATGTTGGGGCCCCTCAGGACTTGGGAGGGTTCAAGTGGATGAGAGATGTGATCCCACTTAGATTTTATTTTATTTTTTACAATGATATATTGCTTTTTAAAGTATATATATTCTTATTGATTTTAGAGAAGAAGGGAGAGGGAGAAAGAGAGAAACATCAATGATGAGAATCATCGACTGGCTACCTCCTGCACGCCCCCCACTGGGGATCGAGCCCACAATCTGGGCATGAGCCCTGACCAGGAATCGAACCATGACCTCCTGGTTTATAGGTCGATGCTCAACCACTGAAGCCCACCAGCCGAGCCACTTAGATTTTAAACAGCTCCCTCTGGCTGTGGTGTTGAGAACAGACTGTGGGCAGGAGGCTATCAGAGGTCCAGAGAGAGATGGCGGAGCCTGGGTCAGTGTGGGAGCAGTGGGCGTGGGGAGAAGAGGTGGGATTCTGGAGGCATCTGCAAGCCAAAGGGACTCGCAGGACTGCACATGGGCTGTGAGGAAGAGGCCAAGCAGGACTCTGAGGCTTCGGGCCAGAGCAACCGGAAGGATGGAAATGAGGCATGCTGGGAGTAGGGGATGCATCGCTTGGGGAGGAGTGGGATTTGGGCAAGTGTCTGATGTCCAGAGGACGTCTGCATGGAGATGCCGCCTGAGCTGACATGACACGGCACCAGCCTCAGGGAGACACCCAGCAAATGCCAGCTCTCCTCCACTTTCCTGCTCAGACGTGAAGATGTGCCAGCAAAGGGGCCCCATCTAAAGCTCATCAGACACCCCTCACAGATGCCCTCATAGCCCATAGGTGCTCTGAGCTGGGGGGGGTGTCAGCTTCCCTTCTTAACCTCCAGGGAGCAGGCTGGAGGTCCCCCAGCAGACCCCTATGAGGGGCCCCT